TTTTTCTCTTTCTTTCTCATTATTATTATTATTATTATTATTATTATTATAATTATAATTATTATTATTATTATTTTGCACAGTTCATTTATTTATTTATAAATAGTTAATTTTATTAGTATATATCACGTAAAATAACGAACAAAGCGTGTGACGATTATTCCAAATTATACTGAAAAAATATACCATAAAAGCTAGACGTATTTTTAATGTAAAATTCATACGTCTCTTTAAATACGACAGTAATGAAAAAGTTTTCTAAAAGGGTAAGAACTTTTTATTTTTATTTATTTTTTTAATATTTCTAAAAAGTCATCACGGGATTTACAAAGCAGCTAGACAATCGGCAATCCTATTATTTTTACTCTATAAAAATGAATATGTTAATAATAATTCTCATAAATACTTGAATAAAATAGAATTAATCAATAACATTATTTATAATAATAATTATAATAATAATAATAATAATTAGATAATAATCAACATTGTCGCCGTTGTCTTGCTCCTTTTTAAATCTCTCACAAATTTAATTTTTTCTTGCGCACAATTCGAAAAATATTAGAGGACTTTAGAATTTAGTACAAAAGGCCTTGCTCTCGCTTTAACATCATTCAGACTCTGTCTCCGATAGTATTTACTTTTATTTTTTAATGTAATCATTAATTAATTATTAACATTAACTATTCAGATGTCTGTTAGTTTTATGAACATACTTTTTTATTTTAATTTTTAGTATCAATTGTAAAACAATTTATTTTTCGAATTAAATAAATTTTTTTAATTATACTATATTTATTAATATAATAACAATAATTACCACGGAGACAGGATCTAATTCTTAGTAATAAAATCACGTGTACCAATACAATCATTTCTACAATTTTAAATTGTTATTTTCTTTAAATCATTCATTCATTCATTCAATTGAAGTAATTTTGATATTTCATCACACATTTTTATCTTTTTCTTATAATTATACATTCATTCTCACACTCTATTATCATCATCATTTAAATATATATGTTGGATGTAAGCTGAACAGTTTATATAAATTAAAAATTAATGTGTAACTATATTTAGCCCCCAACATCCTATTCTTATTATTTTCACTAACAGTGAGTTAATAAGTTTTCGTGTTATAATACATAATTATAATAATGCAGGGACTAAAGCTTACAGTGTTATTGATTTAATTATAAATTAATAATAATTCATTATCAATAATCTCCGATGAATATCGTTATTTATTTATTTAAATATAATAATAATTAATAACTTATGTATATTTATTATTTTTAGTTAGTACTCTGATTTTAGTAAATTTAGTTTTTTAAACTTTTTACCACATTTGCAACAGGTACACGTAATTCGTCTGTTTGACTTGTGTTCTTATGCAAATACCAACCGTTATTTGTTTAGTAATCACAGTTGTCTGGTGGTGTAAAGAGAACACATAATTCTGGTGTTTTATTTGCCTCTAAATCTTTATTTGAATGAAAGTTAACTAAAAATAATGTAACATTAATTCGGTATTTTTTGTCCTATTAATTTTTTTTCATTCATGTTTTTTACGATAAATAAAAATAAAAAAAAACAACAAACAGACAAACTAACAGATTGAATATATAATATCTCTTTAATTTATACAATTCGTTGATAATGAATAAAATTATAATAATAAATTAATAAATAATTATTGACACATGAGACTAATAAATATTTTTTTATTATTTTTGACGACTTGCATGGGAGATTACTGTAATGAAAATTGAAATAACTATTTCGTTTTAAACTTTTTATTCCTGTATCAATATCATAATAAAGCTTAATTCTAAATCAACTTCGATCCTGCCAGGGCGACGTGGACGTTTACCAGAGTCACATAGTTCGATATTATAATACCTGTGGTTTAATTAATTATTAATTTTTATTGTTTTCTATTAAATCAATTATTTTATTTAGTATTGAAATACAAATAGTTTAGTAGAAAGAAAAATAAAATAAAATAAAAACAAAAATAGTTAAATAACTTACAAAAAAATTTACCATTTTTATTTATATTAATTATATTTAATGTTAATTGATTAGTGTATATTTTTATTTCTTGGTTTAAAGATTTCTCAATTAATTATTTTTTATTTTAAAACATTTCAAATTATATTAATAATTATTAACAAAACAAAACAATAAATAATTTAAGTTAATATATTTCTATAGGAATTTAAAAAATTTTTGTTTTAAATTTGAAAATCAATAATTAATGCTGAGGAAATCAAAAAATTGAAACTGTAATAAATGATTATAAAAAACAAACAATTTTAAGTACATATTATAACATAACAATATTATCGTAAGTATTAGTATTATTATTATTATTATTATTATGTATATTAATTTAAATATTATAAGAATACGTTTCAAATGTGTGTGTATTTTTTAAACAATGATCTCAGTCAATGACCACAGTCGCCCTACTTATTTATGTATATATAATTAATTAAATATAACATTATATTATTCGTCAACTTTTATTAATAATATATAATTATAAAATTTAACTCCAAATTGCGATAATAACTCCTAGTTGCAACGTGTGTATTTTATTATTTCTTCAGGTGTATATAACTATGTTCATTAGCCTAAGATTTGTTAGATTTTTCTACATAATCCGAAATTAATAATTAATTAAATTGTTTATCATCACTAATAATTATTGTTATTATTTTTATTATAATTATCATTATAATTAATTATTTATTTAAATTTACGGCACTTACGTAGATTCATGTGTTTCATTATTTTTATTTTCGTGTTTCTGCGAGTGGGAGCTTGTGTATTTTATTTTATTTTTCTACAATTAAATGATTTCTAAATATTCTTTATTCATTAATGAATATAATAATAATTATAATAATTAAAATAATAATAATAATAATAATAAATTTTATAATTTTTCCGCATTTTAATAATTATAATCAACTATTAACGTATCAGTTGGCGCACCACGGTACATCATTAGTCGCCATTATTTATTTATATTTATATAATTTCATAATATATTTTTTTTTAATTTGCAGCAGCTCTCACATAAATCACTATCTACATATCTTTATCCTTCACCATTTTTATTATCTTTAATTAATTATTTATTTTACTTAGTTTAATTTTTTTTTTATTTTTAGCATTTTTTTATTTGTACGTACGGGTAAATATTACTTCCAGTCTTCAATGCCCTACAATTATAAACATTTAAACAACTATTCACCTTATTTTTATTAATTTTTTAAATATTTATTACTTTAACTAAAAGAATATTAAAAACAAACAAATTAAACAATTCCGCTCATATTTATAATTACGTATTCAATTATTTCCTAATTAACTAATTTACAATCAATGATAACAAAATAATAAAATAAATAAATTAAAAATAATAATTAATAATTTTTTGTTAAAATTTTTACAACGAAAATTAATTTATATAATTTAGTTATATTTATAATAGTGATAATTTTTTTTTATTAACAATTTTAATTGTTTATTTCAAATATACAAAACAAATGTGTAAAGGCATAATATAGGGAAGTAATATTTACGTATATAAAAAAAAAAGACGTCGATAAAGTGCGTTAACCAAAATGTTAATCCGTTAAATTTACGTCAATTAAGTTTATCTACGTGTCCTGGTGTCATTTAAGAACGCTCCTGAGACAATATAAAAAATGTTTAAACGTTATACGTTTTACGTACGCACCAATACAATCAATCCTTTAGAAGGATTCTTTTTACGAGAGATCTTAACAAGATAATAATAATAATATTAATTATAATAATGATAGTTATAATTATAATAATAGTAATAGTAATAATAACATGAATACACTCAATTAATTACATATTTTATAACGATTAATTAAATGTTATTAAATAATGTAAAATATCCAACAATTGAACTCCCTTTCGCTCTACCGAGCATTTATTTATTATTTTTAAATATTTGTCTCAGGACAGTCCTCATAAGTTATTTAACCATAATTAGTCAATAATATACTTTGTGTATGTACCATAACAACAACTGATAGTTCATCTAATCAATATACATGTATATGTACAGTATTTATTCATTTTATACATATACATGTGTATTTATATTTATATATACATATATATATACATACATATATTTATGTCGATAAATATATATACATATACATATATCATATATTTTTATTTATTTATTTATTTATATTTATATATCTCTTAAATTTTATAATATACTTCTATATTTTCCATATATACTTTATGTTGCTTTCAATGTATATTTTATATATAACAATGTTATGTTTACGTAAGGCCCAATATGTTCAATACGAAGGAAATAATCTGGAACAAAAAAAAAGATACAAGTTAATCACATGCATAATGTTTATTTGCTTAAATTATATTTTTTCGATTGAAAAAATTTTGTAAAATTAAATCCCAATATTCAACATTAAAAAACAGTAATGTGAAAAACTAATACTAAGTATTTTTTTTTTTTTTTTTTTTTTTTAATTTAAAAGTCACTCGCACAGATATATATGTGTGCAAAATAAATGTAACGTATGTCGGCATATATCTGTGCAAAATAAAATAAAATGTTTCATATAAATTTATATGTATGGTTGACATATTAGATGTTGACGCATTTATGCTAAAATGTACATATATTAAGGTATATGTGTCAGATATATGATAATATATGTAAATGTATGTTTGTGCAAAGAAGTGTATGTTACATAAAATTTTTGCATATAATATTTCCGTGTAGACGAATTTATAAATGTTTTGTTCTTTTAGTTTTAACGAGCAGTGTGCTATAAATGAAAGTATTAATACTTTGATCTTAACGGGAATAATTTATAGAAAAAGTACTCACCTAAACAGAGCAAGATCCCATATCATTCGCTTTCCATATCATCTGTTAACGCCGGATCGCTCTGTTCTGCGTCAGCCGTTCAGCTATCGACACTGAATAATTCTTTATGGAGGGCCGGAAATTCTAGATGTGGCTGTGACCGTTTGAACTTAGCGAGAGCATCCATGTGAAGAAGCGAGATTTCTCTTAGTTGGGGTATCTTTGCAAGCATCGCGTCGCATACCGTTACATCACCTTTGATGGGCGCTACATGATTTCGATTTAGTTGAGACCTTAAGGCTGCGATCACTGCTTGTGATAGCTTTGTGATGTCTGCTTGACCTTTCAAACCTGGTCGATCTGTTAACGAAAACAAAATTTTTTTTATCATTCATTTATTTTAACTCAATAATTTTCAGTTTTATCAATTGTATGACTTACTAAAAAAATTCGATGTAACAATTATTAAAAAATAATGATAAATATACTCACCAGGACTAAGAAGAACTACTGCACTGTAAAGTGCAAGTTCAGTTTCAGTAAGTTTAAGCTCAGCAACACTTCTCGCAAGTTCAAATACGCAGGATACAAGTTTCATCTCAGCTGTATCGGTTGTGTAAAAGGCATCCTGCGGTAGCATTGTGTCACCGTACAATACACAGTTTTGTGTAAGATCTAGGTACCTGCTCATACGTAGCACAGCCAATTCAAATGAACCTAAAAATATTATTGATTTAGTTATTATCATCAATTTTATAAAATTATTCTTTTTTATTATTTTAAAAATAATCTCTTGAATCTTATGGAACTCATAAGTTTAACGAATCTCATGCAAGATATTTTTTTTAATTTTGAGATTTAAAAGTCTAAATATTTCACAAAGAAACAAAATAAAATCAAGTTTCCCAGTTTAAAATGCAGTAACATGTCTTAGAATTTTTTTAATTTGCCTAAGAAACAAAAAGTTTACAAGCTTAAATTGATAAAAAATTTGATTTGTATATAAAAGATAAATTGATAAAATACCTATACTCAAAATTAAACAATAAAATAAAAAAAGGTCTAAAAATTTTACAGTTACTGTATTGAATAATTTTTTTTCTTACCGAAATTTTTGGACAAAAATCGTCTGATCATGTATTTTCTGAGTTTAAATCACAGACAAGTTTTGAGTGTAAAAAATATTTTAAAAACTCTTTTTTTTTTTTTCAATAAGAAATGTACAAAAAATTTTCTCAAATTTTAATGTAAAAACTTTTATAAAAAATTGACATTAAAGTTTAGTATTTTATCTGCAAATGTTATATTACATATCTAAAAGGTTTTTTAATTTAAGACGATATAATATTTATCTATTTTTTTTATAATAAGTAATTTGAATTCGATAATAACTTACCAGCTTTGAGAAGGACAATTTGATCATCCTGTGAAAGTTTCATGAATCCGGGGATCATTTTGGCAAATTCAATAATTTGCTGGATAACTGTAGTCAATTTTTGTGCACACTCGAGCCACAATTGTTCATGTGCCATATTTTTGTAGTAGATCAGCTTGGAAAGATCATGAGGCTTGTGAAACAACTCTTGAATTTGATCTGTCGAGACTAAACACGTTCTCGAATGAGCATCTGCTATCGTTTTTGATAACAACTCATTTATTTCTGTTGAATCTGTGAATAAACAAATAAATAAATATTAATATTGTTGTTATTATTTTTTTCTATCATTATCTTAATCAGTATTCTAATTTATTTATTTAAAAATTTTCATTTCTATAGCTACTTCACAATTTTAATGACACAATAAATGGAAGAATGACAGTAATTTTTAAAATCATTAGCTGTAAATTTTCGTGCGCCAATATTTAATCAACTAATTAAATCTTCATGCATAAAAAATATTTTTAATAAAAATTTTTCTTTTTTTTTCATTTTTAATACGTAATTAAATTCATAAAATTATGTTCATAATAATTTGATGTTAATATTGATAAATGAAAACGCCTAAATGATAAAAATGCATCAAAATTATGAAAATTAAAATGGAAATGAAAAACAATAAATAATCAATATATTTCAATATAAACTGTTAGAAAAATTCTGGTCATGATTTTTAAATAAAGTGTCTTTATTGATTTGACTATAATTTTTTTTTTTTTTCTAAGTAAAAAAAACTCCCAGAAACATTTCACCCATATCATAACAGTTTTTAAGACATAAAAGTTTAAACTTTTCAACACGTAAAAGAATGCCCGTTACACTTGTTAAACATCCGGTCATCTCTTCAATTGCTTGTAGTATGAACACGGGTGTTTAACGATATTGTCTAGCTTGTAAATCCGTTCAGATAAGATTTTTAAACTTCATTTGCTCAAAAATAGTTGTGATGTGGGGGTTACATTATTTAATCTAGTGTATATTTTTTACCCGGATGTAAAGAGCTTTTTTTTAAATGTCAAATCAATTTTTTATCTAGAAGGCGTAAATAATTTTTATATTTTAGTATTGTATACATTTTACAGTAAAATTTCAAATTGAATATCGAAATTAAAAAAAAAAAACAATTTCGCGCTTCAAGCGTGCAATGATTTTTGTGTTACGATGTTTTTTTTTATGATACTGAAATGAACACACAGAGGAAATTAAACCTTATTGATATTGTTATTTTGTACAGTAATCAGCAATGTATTGTGAAAAGTAGCGGTTAGGTGTATTTGGAGATTAGTCAGCGCTATGCAGAAAACGACTAGTTATTGTTTGCAGACGAGTACACAGAAAGAAAAATTTCTTGACTGGAGAACAAAATTCTGGGCTCAAGAAAATTTTCGGGTGCCTGAAGGAAGACCGAAGTTTTGTTGGCCGAAGTAAAATTTTTTCTTTAAATTCTATTCTTGGTGGAAGTAATTTTTTCTTAATTCAAATTATCATAAATACTTGATACAAAAAATTTTTATTTTTGATCAAGATTTTAGATACTTTACGGAAGCAGCGCCACTTACTTCAGCTGAAAAAAAAATTTTCTCACCTTGAGAAAATTTTTCTCTTGAATATTTGATACCCATTTTATTATTTTAGCGTGCAATTATACATATTGAATGAAAAAAAAATGATTCAATATTATTTGATCTCCCAATTGGGCATGTTAATCAATAAAAATATTAATGAAAATTTACTTCTATCGAGATATTTAATTTTTTTGGAGCATGAGGCTGAATATTTTCAAAACAAGAAGATTTTCTTGACTTAAATAAATTTTCTTGGATCAATATACGTATTTCTTAAAGCAAGAGAATTAATTTTGTTGGAATAAGTGAAATTTCCTGTGTCAAAAAAAAATTTTTTTTTCGCTGAAGAAAATAATTAGGAAGAAAATATTTTTCTTGGCTCTAGTGAGCCTTTTTTCTGTGTACTGTTCAAAGAAATCGCAATCTTATGATGAGGTCAACACACAATTGAGTGCTTTCGGTATAGTACTTAGTTAGATGCAGACGACAACCGATAATTCGCTTACAAGGCTTACTATTCTCCAAATACAGACTACTATTTACAGACTACTTTATAAAATATTAACCAATTAGGTTTTATTATCTTCATACAGAGATCTAATAGTCTTCAGAATATTGTAAAGATAATAATTATAAATAAATTAGACATCTAATAAATAAAACTTTTTAGAAAATTTTACTTGCAGAAATTTAAAATATCTATAAGTGCAATTATTCAAAAAATTTTATAGGTACTAATTTATTTTTCATACAAACAAAATCAAAAATTAGTCAAGTGTCTATTGATTTCAGTATAATATTTTTAATAAAATTTCCATTATAAATTTTGAAAAAATGTATAAATTTTAAACAGAAAAAATTAACACATTTTTTAATATTTTTTATACAAAAATATTCATTATGGATAAAATTTTTTGTTAGTATTACTTTTTTTCAAATAATAAATAAAACCAAAAAATGGTTAGGTGTCTGCTGATATCAGTATTATTTTTTAATATATATTTAAATACATTGGAAAGTATCTATAAATTTTTATTTTTGCTTTGGTGGTAACTGGTCGTTTTTAAATAAAATTTTGCACAAATTAAAAAAAATAGATGTTCAATAAAATGAGTACAATTTGAATGATAATTTGGTCGTTATAATTTACAGGATCAAGCTTGTTAACAAGAAGCCCCCCTTATTAATTTATTAATTTAATTATATAAATTATAAAAGAGTGAAAATGATAACAGTTAAGAATTGGACATAGACATATTACCATGCACGTGCAACAGAAGAAACAATAAAACACTATGACAAAGAAAAAATGAAAAAAGGTGAGAGTAGGAGGGATTGAAAAGAAAGACACAAAACATAGCCTCACATCTTGCATGAGACATACTGGGCAGATTATGAACTTCGTCATCATCCGTAGGATTGTTGACTCTCTGCTGTTGATTGCTGAGGAACGTCGTTGAGTCGACCATCGTGTAAGAGCCGTGACCAAGGTTAGCAAGCTCAATCGTCGTTTCTTGCTTTACGGCAACTATTCCTCCGCCACTTATAGATCCGCTTCCGGAACCGCCACCCCCATTACTGTTACTCCCGTTACCGTTATTATTACTACTATTACCACTACTACTTCCTCCACCACCACTACCGCCACCACCACCACCACCACCACCACCACCAGTACCACCACCTCCTCCTCCTCCTGCTCCGGCACTATTTCCACTGGTGTTGCCGCTCCCGGTTGTTGATGCAGACAAAGATTTTCCTAATTTCGGCCAATTAATATTACATCAATCAATTATTTTTACACTTTTTCCATCGAAAACAAACAAACAAACAAACCAATTACCGCAATGCATTCTTATGATGAATTTTACTAACGACATTTATGCTGAATGATATGTGATTTGATTAATGACATTTTATTTCCCTCTTAAATAATTTTTGTTTTATTTAATTTTAAATGGATGTGTTAAATTAAGAACAATTTAAAAAGTTAAAAATTTTCATGATAGAAAAATAATTTGTTTATTGTTAACTAATAACTAATTGGATAAAACAATGAATTAAATGACCGTTTTAATCACTCATTATTTTATAAGTTATGAAAATGATATGAGTCTCAAGACAATTTTAATGAGTGTTACATTGGTAATGGTAGAATAAGTTATTAAGTGGATTACGATATAGTAATAATATTATTATTATTATACTGTGATATTTATGAATTGAATTTCATTGTTTAAAGAAGCTCAAAAAAGTTTTTAATAAAAATGAAAAGTTGCTTTGAACATTAAATGGATTATTTTCTACTATCGTTGTTATTGTAAGCATTTATATATAGTTTTTGTTTCGACGTGAAAATCTAAGTACAAATGACCTGTCTTCACTGATATTTTTATTGACACTTTTTACTATAACGTATTGACATTAATGAAGTTATATTTTTATTTGTTATGAATTTAAAATTAACTAATGGCAATACTTTTTAGTATTTTTAAAAATAAATCTTTGGTAAAGTATAATATACCATACAATAATTAAATTTATAGGCCGGTTATCATAATATAAAAAGTAATTACGAGTGGGATTTATTATTTTTTCGGTCATAACAAACAAAAAAATAAATATTTCACAATATTTTTTTAGATATATTTTCATATTTAAAAAAAAAAATTGACTTAAATAAAATGGAACTCACTTCCAAAAATTTTCCTAAATAGTGTGAATGTTGGAAGGTAATTCTTTAATTGGACAAAGAATTAGTCTATCGTGTAATTTTTTAAATCATGATATTTCGACCGTCGATTCAGTCTTTTTCGGGTTCATAAATAATCCATTACAGTAGTCAAAATGTCAAGTATATTGAGACGTGAAGCAGTAATCATGAATATTCAAATATTCGATTAACTAACTATTAAATTAATTAACTAATATATGATGCTCTAATCTGGTGCGAAAATTTTCCAAAACATAGCAACTTAAATCTAATAGCAATAGAAAGCAGTTTTCTATCGATATACTTGACATGTTGACTATACTGTCATGGATTTTTAATGAACCTGAGGACTGAATAAACGACCGAAACTTCGTAATTTAAAAATTACATAATAGTCTAATTCTTTGTTTAATTATCTTCGAACATTTACAATATTTACGTTTTTGGAAGTTAACAAAATGACTAATTTCCCAAAATAATTACCCGAAATTACTTCATTTTTATTATTTCGGAATAAATATATTGATAAATACGACAAAAATAATTTATTTCCATCATCAACTTATCTAATTTTAAATCAAAATTTTTTTAGTTTGATTTTACAAACACCTTTCAGTCTTTTTGATTAAATCTTTGATTTAATTTAAAATAAATATTCGGATTGTAATAAAAACTAATATAAGATAAAATGTTTTTTTTTTTCTTTATAATTAATTGAAAAGAAAAAAAAAATCAGTGAATTGCAATAACAAAAGAATTATTTTACCTGTGTTGACGACACTGGCCATAACTCCAGTAGCCGTAACGGAAGGTGTGTCAGGAGCAACTGGATCGACTTGTTGGGTTGGTCTTGGATCGTAAGCAGTTGTACTATCGACGTAATCGGCACTCAGTTCGTAATTAGTTATTGCCTGATGATTGTAATATCCAGATCCTCCAGTTCCAGGACCAGGCGATGCGTATTCACTGCCCCCGTACGTGTAGCTAAATTTTTTTTCCGAACAAACAAAACAAAAAACCAAACATGATTAAAAGAATCAAGTATTTAATTAATTTATGAAAATATAAAACCTTCAATAGGCTTATCTTTGATTTAACGTTATTCTTCAATACATGATTATCCTATTATATTGTAAGAGAGACGTCTTTTGTCCTGAAATGATGATGCTGTCGATAAGGTGATTTGTTACTTTACTTATGATTTAATGATCTTCATGCTTAAGACTATGCACAAATAAAATATTTTTAAAAAATTAACACTAGGAAACGGAAGTGGGATAAAAAAAAAGTTTATTTATAAATTACTAACGAAGTATTAAGACTAATTTTTTTTATCATTTGAGAGTAAAATGAGAGACACTGTCTAAACATGATGTCATTCGTTCTCTGTACAAAAGACTTGTGAGGGTGTGACGGGATAGAAATAGGCTGCGCCGTTACAATAATGATGTCTACATTTCTTCTTTTTATTGTTTTTGGACAAATCATGTTCAATTTCAATGAAGAAAAATTTTTTTATTGTATACAATATTTATTTGTAGTTAAAAAGATATTTAATGAAAGATGAACGTGTGGTGTCTATGAGTAAAGTCAAAAAATATGGTATAAAATTTTTAAATCATAAGAATTTTCATTACCAACCGTATGATAGATTTTTATTAGATTAAGAAAAGACATTTTTTAAACGTAGTTACGGTCATTATTTGAAAGTAGGGTCCGCAATATTTTAACTCGTAAAAATGACATTAAAATTTTTTTTAACAAAATAACATATTTTTAATTTCCCACTATGAAAATCATAGATTTTCAAAAATTGTGAAATTATTTCTTTCAATATTAATACATTTTTTTTGGAAAAATGATTTAAAAAGTTGTATAATTGAAATTTTCGAAAATTTGTTTTATATTATTTGTAATTACGCGTAATATAACAAAAAATCGTTACAGTTATGTAGATACATTTTATTGATAATTTTTGGTCGACATAAAATTTTTGTCTGCGATAAAAATTCTAAAAATAATTAAAAATGTATTTTTAACGGTTTTAATGATTGATTCATAAAAATAAAGTGGAATCTCCCTTTCAAACAATTACCATAATTATTTGTCAGAAAAAAAATATTGTATCCAGAAAAAATCATACAGAGCGTTGTTGCGTAAGACATAGTACATAATTATTAATGTTAACTTTTTGGTCAAATTTAAATAATTAATTTCTATGTTTGTGATAGTGTCTTCCTTACTCTTGCACTGGTACAAAATAATAATTTGCATTTAAAAATTGAATAAGTGTAATCAAACATTGTCCAAATTTTATTTTTTTATTGATGATTTAAAAAAAACAAAAAAATTTTTGCAAATGAATTTTTAATAAAAAAAAATTAATCGTGTGGATGTAAATGGGATGTATATAATGATAATGATAAAAAAATGAATAGAAAGAAAGATAAAATTTTTAAAGAATACTGACCCGCCGTTATAAGAGTGATGTTGATCTGAACTGCTTGGAGTTTGATGTTCAAAGACGCTGCTATCTGGTGCTGTTTCTGAAGCTGCTCTCATTTGCGCTCTATGAAACCTCACCTCATCCTCAACCTTCTCCCTTTGCTTCTTTGACATACGTCCAAATTTAACGGCTAAAAAAATTCATTTAATGTTATATCATATGTCGATTTAAATAAATTTTAATTGTAGATAAAAGTAAATAAATAAAATGCTTTCTTTTTTTTCTTTTATTCAATTGTGGATGAACCAACGAGGGAATAATAAATTAACTTTATCTACAAATCAGTGTTAGCAGTGTCATGGAAATTATTGGAAACAGAGAACATTTTTTTAACTGAATAAATTTGTTTAATTAACCATTCCTTTTTTCTTCGTTGAATAATCATAATTAGAAGCGATCATTAAAATTATAAAAATAAAATTTTAAGTCAAAAAAAAATGGAACTAGGTAGTTAAAACAAAAGCTTGAGCTTTTATAATTTTTTTAATATTTTAATAATTAATAAACACACAACAAAAAGTAATCAATAAAATGATTAATAATATATTTTCCAATAAAGCAAAAAAATTTTCTCATCAACGAAACTTCAAAGTCATCATCGTACTTTATCAGCATTAATTAGCTAAATAAGAAACAAATCGGATAAACCTCAATGTTTTTCAATTTTGTAAAGTTTACAGCCCACAAGAGAATCGATATCTTGTGTTAAAAAAATAGAAAAAAAATGAGTGAGAAAAATTGATTCAGTAGTCTAGCAGCGAACGGTGAAAAATAGACGGATCGTTAGTGAGAACAAAACATGAGATATGAAATACAATTCAGTAACATCAACGTCAATCGTTACATCAGCGTAACGCCAGAGGGTAACTCTCAATATATGTATAATACAAAAAACAAAATAAATAAATAAAAATCAATGGCGCATCAAAAGTGCAGTAAAACAAAATAGAGGGAATATCGATTTTTTTTTCTATTTTTGTTTATTGTACTCTATTTTATTCTTTCTTCGTAAGTGAATAAAAAAAAATTAATAATCGGAATTCTTATACTTTTACCTCCAATAAGAAGTTAAATTCACGAGTGTAATTAGGGCAGGCGGCTGATAGTTTTTATGAAAAATTATAGAAATTTTAACCCTTAAGTACCCGTTCTTTTTAGTGTCTCACTTGCACTGCAGCGACATCCTATAAGTTGAATGTTGTTGCGTGAGAAAAATTCTCATAACGAGGGTACTGAAGAGTTAACACAAAGATTTGGAAATGGGATCCAACTATTTTTTAACAACAAACTATCGCAAAATTAACATTTTCGAATTTTTCCACATCGCATTTATGACATAAATATTTAATTGGTTTTAAAGCTTTAAACGTTAAGGAGAATTTTATTTTCGATGTATTAACGTCGACTGAAAATCGTTAATACAAATGTCGACTTATCAGTCTAATATAACAATTGCTAATTGATATTTTCGTATTTTACTTGTAAAACCACATACAGCGTTTTTAAGAAATCATTTCTTAAACATCATTTCTAAGTATGTAAAAAATATTTCTTAGTATTTAAGAAATATTTCTTAGTATTTATAATATTTCTTAGTATTTAAGAAATATTTCTTAAATACTAAAAAATATTTTTTAAATACTAAAAAATGATGTTTAAAAAATGATTTCTTAAATATAAAGAAATCTTTTTAAATACTAAGAAATCCTTCTATCAGTGTAACTAAGAATTTCCACATCCTCACTTTTTCGCAGCGGTCAACTGCTCATAACGAGATTCGCTTGTAATATAAAAAAAAATTCGAAAATGTCAATTTTGTTATTCTTTTCATTATTTATTTAAAATTTCTTCCTAAATTACTCCGTTTTTAATTAACTTGAAGAAGAAAAATAATAATATTCATAGTGGAGAGTTAAAAATATGTGATTTTTCATAAAAAATTTTAAATATCATTACCATGGGTTGAAATATCGTGAACTCGATTCCTAATTAATTTTCCAATTTTAATAATTTTATTTAAAATAACAAAGTTTTAATTTACATAAAAAATTAAAAAAATGATCTGTCTGTTTACTTTATACTCATTTAAATTTAGAATTTTGTTAGATCCTTGTAATTAATCGATAAAACAAAGTGCATTGATTTCAAACGATTCGCGCGTTGTCGTTAATAAGTGCCATTTGAATTCTAATAAAATTTATCTAAACAGAAAATCTTCCATTATAGTTAAGCAAGGTTTTTTTACACATACTCCTTACATGCGTAGAATAAAATTTTAACTATTATTTAGTTATATTTTTCGCTGTAAATAACTTTTTGTACATAAATTTCTATCCTCAATAAATTTTTTCTAAATTAGTTAAACAATTTAAAAATTCCAGATGAAAAATATTGATCACTTTGTTATGATTGAACGTATGAAAATAAAATGAAAAAAAATATGTAATTCAAACACCCTAGAAGTTATTCCCCTAACGTTGCACCCAGAGTACACAGATGACGTTGAAGAAATAAGTACGCATGCGTGTCGAGGGAACGCGGAAGCGAGGTGAGTTGACGTGTGACGTCATAGACGGAGAGAAGACAACGTCATGAATTTATGAGTGAGACAGAAGACACTCCACTAATGCACCCCTGAGAAATCCTTTTGTAGCAATATAATGTAATGTGATGTGATAAATATATACAGTCACGATACATATAAACACTCATGCAAGTGTGCAGCCGTAGAGATATTATATCGGTGGGCTTAGCTGTGTGTATACAAAGAAAGAAGAAAAACCAAGAAGCATGGTTTCGACCACGTGACGTCAGACCAGCTGAAACGCAGTCTGGTGGACGGAGGTTTAGTAAAGAAGTGGGGGAGTTTATATATATACGTATAGTATATATAAAGTTGAAGACATTTCAATAATTGTATGGAAGAGAAAGAGAAATACTATAATGTATAGTAAGGGGTGATCGACCGAGTTAAAAAAAAAAGAGAATATATATATGAGCTTGAATATATAGAGAAGAGAGAAAGAAAGAGAAAAGCCACCAGGAAGAAACACACGGCCTCTATGCATTTTCTTTAGCTATATTTAGGCAAGTCCCTTTATCAGCAAAACGTTTCAGTTACAGTCTATGAATATATGTATGTTTTATTCTTAGATTTCGATGATGCATAATAAAGTATATTATATTAACCAAAGCTATTTTTGAAAGTCTTTAATAATTTATAAGAAACTTTACGGTGATATTTTACTTTTAAAATTTTTAACAGTGTTCATATACGTTTTACTGTTTCGTTTTTTATTAATTTAGTAAAATTTTATTTAACTGCAACGATAATTGAACAAATAAAATCAACCGATTGATGAAAATTTTTTAACTTTTATAGATTTATAGATTTTGTTTATTAATGCCAAGGCACAGGCCAAATGGTAATTTCTATTACATAGTATAACAATTTTTACAAGAAAACAATTTCTGTTTCTGTGAGTACATAATATAGTATTGCACAAAAATTATTTTAAATAATTCGTATATAAACATAATAAAAACAAATTAAACTTAGAATTTAATACAGAAAATGATGTCATCAAATCAGATGATAACTCAACATAATAAATCTGCAATTGCACTGATTTTATCCATATTTTAATTTTCAATCTTTAAAGTAATTAAGCTCAAATTTGTGATTTATTTGACGTCGTTTTAATTATCAAGATTTAATAAGTAATTTTAAAGCCATAGAAAGAAGTAAAAAATATAAGAAGAAATAAAAGTAGAAATGGTTACTAATTGTCCAATGAATTTACTCTCACTTGTATTTCACGGAAATCAGTAGCCGGATGATTTTTATATCAAAAAAGGAAAAAAAAAAAAAAGAATTTTGAGAGAAAATGTGCAAAAAAATTAAGAAAAATAAACACCGAGCGAAGAACTGTAGTTTTTTTTTTATATAAAATAGAAATATGAAATTAAAAATGATGTAAGGTAAAAGCCCCAATATATGATCATGTACTAGTATATGATCACTCCATGTATTTGTATACCTATATTTGTGAATATAGATATACAAATACATGGAGTGATCGTATACTGGTACATGATCATCTATTGGTGCTTTTACCTTAATTAAAAAAAGCAAAATCTCGTGAATCTAAAAAGCCAAAAACAATTCGTCTATAACTAATAATAATCGCATAAAAAATGAAGTCATTTACTCTAAATGTATGGATATAGTAAACTAAACTGTAATGAGTTTTTCGATATTTCTTTAGCTGCGGTTCTTTTTTGATAAAAAAAAATTGTATCTAAAAAAATATTTGAAGCGTTTGAGTTGATAAAATTTTTACTATATTAGACAGAAATATAGCTTGATAGTATACAATAGAACCATACAAATATCATACAAAAACATATTACGTATGAGCATGTTTCTTGAGGAGTGGTTGATGATCTCCGAGAGACTATCAATCGATAAGATAGTGTGATGTATAAACCAACAATTGACACAGCTTTATTTAAAAAAATAATAAATTCATAGTTGTAATTATTGAATAATTATTTTTTTTAATATTTTCTACATTCTAATCTAGATGAGACATATTTAGGACGCAGTTGAGTTTATTGTCTTATTGCTACCATTCATCTGCCATTTATAGGTGAGATAGTGCTTGGTCGGAAACTACGATTATCGTTAAAGAGAAGAGTATGGAGAGTAAATAGAGTCTCTATTGTTTCTCTTTAACGTGCAAATGTCAACGCTTCACCTTTTCTTTCCTCGCGGCTATACGTTTAATGACTGTGACACGTGTGCTACGTTTTCTATGCCTGAAGACAATGCGTGTTTTCATCATTTCGTGAGGCAACAATTATTCACCATGTCATTGAATTCTTTTCTTTACATATAATTGTATATTTTTTCTAAATTTTCTTTTATTTTTAATAGATTTCATTTTTGGCTGTACATAAATATTTTCATACAATCGAACCGTTAAGTTTTTTTTTTCTTTGTCCATATACTACTTTTTTGTTATTTTTTTATTCACCGTTACGTATATGCTTATTTTGGACACCGCAGCTCTCGAATCTTTACCGTTACATTTTATCTTGCGTGACAACAGTTGAATAAAGTTAGGAAACCGACGTGACTTTGAATTTTAAATAAAGAGAAAAAAATATGTACTAAAAATTATTGTACTAAAGGTATGTTAATGAATCTTTAATAATATTATACATTAAAAGTATACCGCAGGTTAATGGTCATTTTTATTTTTTTATATTATCGAAACTGATCGGTGGACAAAGAAGCAGGAAGTGGTGTACCGATGTCTTGAAACATAATAAAATTTGATAAAGCTATTATACAAGTCTATAAAATAGTTATTATAATTTAATACAGCCGCCGCAGTGAGAAAATAAAAATATATTGCAATTCGTTGTTGCTTTAATGTATTTTTTTGTTTTATTTTCTCTTGTGTATAACGAGCATTATCGATACATTTGCTTGCATACGCAACAGAAGTATATTGTCGTTGTACATTTGTCTTGATAAGCTAACAAGTAAATTAAAGGGGCGAGACGTTTGGCGAGAAGAAAATGTTGATAAGGGGTCATACACCCCAGCAAAAGCGCGTGGCGAATGCACCAAAGTATATTTTAGATTTATATATATACTAGGGTGACGCAAAAAAACCGACTATTTTTTTTTTTTTGAGTCTCGAGTGAAAAAATGTTAGTTTTTGATGTTTTAAGAGCCCTCACCAAAGGACAGCTCAAAAATAAATTTTTAAGAGGTCACTCCAAATTTTTCAAAATTTCAAAAATCGTCAAAAATCGAATTTTTTTTTTTTGAATTTTTTTTCTCGTTACGGTATAATTTTATAGACTAAAAAAAAATAAGTTTCTGAAAATTTCAGTTCAAAATTCGAATTTTGAAGGGTCGCTCATAATATTTTTCAATTTATTAGTGCATTAGTTTAGATTTTTTCGAGCGACCTTTTACTATTCAAATTAAAATTCCATGCATTTTTTTTTTTTATTTAGTACAATAATCGATAAGAATACATCACGAGATGAACTAAAAATCAAGTACAACATAGAAAATATAATTATTTTTTAATTTAATAATTTTATTTAATCAACTGCCAGGCGCGAGTTCGAATCCCAAGCTGGTCTTAAAAACCAGTTTGGTTGAGATTTGACCTTGCCGCGTTTGTTAAGATTTTTTCAAACCAAAAAGACCCCAACGTACCACTCCCAACACTTAAAGTCGGCGATATGACTAATTAACGAAAAATAAAAAAAATTATGAGCGACCTTTCAAAATTTAAATTTTGAACTGAAACTTTCAGAAACTTATTTTTTTTTGGTCTATAAAATTATACCGTAACGAGAAAAAAAATTAAAAAAAAAAAAAAAATTCAATTTTTGACGATTTTTGAAATTTTGAAAAATTTGGAGTGACCTCTTAAAAATTTTTTTTTGAGCTTCTCCTTTGGTTGAGGGGCTCTTAAAACATCAAAAACTAACATTTTTTTCACTCAAGACTCAAAAAAAAAAAAAATTAGTCGGTTTTTTTGCGCCACCCTAATAATATACAATATTTTTTAACTTCCCGCTAAAAATCTCAGATTTTCAAAAATCGGGAAGTTATTGTTTTCACCCCGTTTTACAAAAATCGAGTGTGTGTGTGTGTGTGTGTGTGTGTATGTGTGTGTGTGTGTGTGTGTGTGTGTGTGTGTGTGTGTGTGTGTGTGTAAACCTCTTGTAACTTTTAAACGACTTGACCGATTTCATCGCGGTTGGTGTCATTCGAAAGGGCTTCACTAAACTTAGATTTCCTGAAAATTTGAACCGATTCGGACCGGTATATTTCGAGAAAATGCAAAAAAAGTGAAAAAAAAGTTGTTTTTTTTTTTATTTTTTTCAAATATCTCCGAATTGGCTGAACCGATCGGTCTCAAAAACTAATCAGCTCTTAACCTTGAAAGTCCCCATCGATCGCCACCAAAAACGTTAGAATCGGTTGATGCGTTCGTGAGATATCGTTGTCGAAAAAAATCGAAAAAAGTGTTTTTTTGTAATAACTTCGAAATTCATGGCTCGATCGATTTAAACTTGAAAATTTTTCATGGAGCTTCAAAAACTGCGTCGATTGCTGCCAACCGTGTGAAAATCGGTTCATTCATTCAAAAGTTATTGCCGTTTGAAAATTCAAAAAATTGTGTCTTTAAACTGCTATTAGAGCTTTGAGCTCGAAGAGCTCAAATTGACACAAAAATAATATTTTTGAGCTCGAAGAGCTCAAAAACGTAATATGTAGTTTGAAGCGTTCAAGTACAAAATGAGCGGGAAGTTGCAGGGATGGCCTTTAGGGTGAACCGTTTTTCTAATTTTTTTTTTTTTTTTTTTTTCATTTTCTTGGTGTATTAAATGTGAGTCAACATTTCACTTTACTCGTATGTTTGCTGCAAGTACACTGAGAAATTATTTAATTTTTTACATGATAATTTTTCATCAAATGATTTAATACTCATGTATAAAAATTATAAGAAATTAAAAAATTGTATTTATAACTTGCAATAAAAAATATCTATAAATAAATTTATAAATAATTTTAAACCGTAAATAAACTGAAAAAGAAAAACTGAAGATATTTTATGAGATGCCTGATGCATCAGTTAGACGAAAATAGAGAGAAAGTAATCGTTAAAAGATACAGGAAACTCTAAATTTTAATATTTTGAAATTTAAAAAGAAACATTGCAAGTCACTTTAAAGTTTAATGATTTTCAAGTTTATTCATTTTAACAATAATTATATTTATGAAATATTTATTTTTAACGAGGTTAAAAACAAATTTGTTTAATGTTCCAGTAAATAGTTGTATGCATAATTTATTTATTTATTATTTTTAAATTTATCGAGCCAAGTTTTATCTGTGTCTATGATATAACATACCTTTTTTATTTAAACTGAATAGAAACTATTTCAATTCTTTAAACACTGAATATTTCATCCACAATTGCATAATTATATTTAAGAAAATTTTAGTAAATTGGTTATTGACTGTTAAAATAACTTACCATCTCTGGACATGCCAAGTCGCAGGCACTTTTGTAACCGGCAATACTGACACCGGTTTCTGTTGACACGATCTACCACACAATTTTTGTTTCTCGGGCACTGGTAATTTACGACTGATGACTGTGACCTCCTGAAGAAACCTTTGCAACCCTCGCAGGTTATTACACCGTAGTGTACACCGCTGCTTTTGTCGCCGCAAACTTTGCAGGGGATTATCTCGATCTGGGCTGTAATTAATAAATTTTCAATTATTACCATTTGTCTATTACAAATAAATGAATAAAAAAAGAACTATTATTTAAATTTGAAACTTTGATTTTTATCTATGACGACAGATGAAATAAGATTATATATGTAATACGTAAACAAGAGTGATATGACATGAAGTAGCTATTGATTATGTAATTCAAGCTTTACTTTATAATTCAATAATACATTTGCATATAATTGACATAACACAAGTTAAGTGTAAGCTTCATTGTTCAGTTTTTTAACTCTAAATTTCATGGAGCTTGTTTTATTTTATTTGTAAATTTTGCTAAATAGATTGTATGGAAAAATTTTTAATCTCTATATTTTAAAAATATAGAGAATATGTATATACAAAATATATTTTTAACAGCTAACTTTCTTTCGATTTTCGTATTTATTTTATAGATTTTAAATACAATTAAAAAATATTGAAAATCGATCTGGAATATAAGTATGAAAATTTTTAAAAATTTATTTTAAACTACATAGTATTTTCAATATACTTTTATAGTTAGTTTTTATATAGTTTGAAAAAAAAAAATTTTTTTTTTCATTATTTTATGCATGTGTTTTATCATATAATATTCAGGATATATTTTTAATATTTCAAAAAATATTTTTGATAAGAAAATTTTTTATGGAAAGATTTAAAAAATAATTTTTAAACTTTGGTATCTGCACAGTAAAAAATTTTGCGTCAATGCGTCAAAAAATTTTGTCTTGAAAATTTTTGTGTCAATTTAACACTTTTTTGTGTTGTGCAATGACGTAAAATTTTTTACAGTGTGTTCAAAAAATCACAGATGGAAAATCTGTTCAAATATATATATTTCGGTTTTTATTTATTATTTTATGGATTTCAGTTTCCACTGAATTGTAATGTGTATAGTTAAAAGCTCGTCTACCTCGGATAGATTTAACCTGGACTCTACGGTCATCCAGCAAACTGTTATCAGAACTTGAAGTTGTTTGAATTGAGGATCGCGTTCTCGCCTCTGGAGGCTGTGGACTCGTGCTGTCGGCGCCCCAAGTCGACGTTTCGAACACCGATAAATTTCCCTCCATTTACACTGTCGTACTTTATCGCCGTGTCGTTGCATTCGCATACGACTCTTTCTAACTTTCATCTACTGCTAATTTTATTATTTCACTTATCAGATTTATAATAATCAAGGCGTATATATATATATAAGAGGCATTTATATTCTTTGTACTACTTGACAAAAATCCCTGATAAAATTTTGTTTAAATTTATTTATGTGAAAAAAATAACTATTTTTATGCTAGTTATTTTAAAAATTTGTTTTATTAAAATTTAAAAGGTATCTATTTTGTTTTTTTTATAAAAGCATTCAATATTCAATTTAATTGAATAAAAAAAAAATTGCATGGATTAATTTTATACATAAGTTTTATAAAAAAAAATTATAAAACACAAAATTGTATCGACTTCATTTTTAATAATTGAAGAACAAGTTTACTTGATAGTAATTTTAATTTTCATTGCAGAAATTAAAGTCTAAAAAATAGAAGCAAATTCCGTCAGGAGCAATAAAATGAGTAAAAAATTCAAAATACTTTAATTAAAGTAAAAATATTGAGCCTTCTCATCGAAACATATTCTAATGAATAACTTTTTTCCACTTAATGCTATATAATAAAACAATAAACAAAAATACTTTAAATGATGAGTTTCAATAAAATCTACAATAATTAGCTTCAACTTGTACTTGATATTAGTATTATCTTCATCTTCTACTACTTGGTAATATGGTATACGGAGAGCGGCGGTCTCAGTAACGTCGAAGCGCTTGCACCATATAGTCAAACATTACATAACTAAGAACGATGAACTCAAAGTACAGTCACTCAACACACGGGCATTTTCTCGCGTTATCTTGTATCACGTTACGATGCCTGCAGCTGCAGGAAATTATTTCTTCCAAATTGTTATTTTTATTTATTTATTTTTTTTTTCTACTCATAATGTTGTTTTTATTTCAATCAATAAAAAAAAATTCATAATTCCGGGTACAAAATTTGGAAAAAAAGTTATTTACATAATTGTGTATCAATGAGACATTTCATTAATTAATACTTATAATAATCAGTAACTTATTATCTTCTTAAAATTTAACTAAGATTTTTGTCAAAGTAAATTAAAAAAAAATAGTATCATCTTATAAATGAAATAATTATTATAGTTAGCGAATATTTAATAAGTAGATCACTTAAAAATTAAACTGCCTTAATTAATATAAAAATAATAATTTCACATAATTTTTTGTTTTAATTAGATCAAGAGTTTCAAAATTAAAATTACACTTGACAGATAATTGAAAACAATGTTTATCATTTTAAATTATAAATATTACATAAATAATTGATATAAATTTCACATGTTTTCACATTACTGTAAGTGTTTAAATAAATTAACACAAATACATCCACTGTCACTTATCAGTAGTCATATTTATGAATTTAAATTGATTGTTGATAAAAATTTAAAATACGGTAAATTTGTAATTAAAAAAATAAAGATAAAAGTTATAAAAAAAAGTATTGAACTTGTAGAGCGTTAGTAAGCGGCACTTTCCAACTCCCACACGACACACGACTTTATACTCTATAGTAATACCAATTCACCCATACATTACTCTATCATGAGTGTACACATGGATTTACTCACGAACCAACCAACATCTCTTCCTGCATCCTTCTTTCTTTCTCCTTAGTCCCTTTCTACTTTACGATCTTTTTGTGTCTCTTTTATAAATCTCGGACACAACACTGAGTAAGAATAATCCACCGAGAGTATATCCACTGATCATGCAATACATTGTTACATCCCACATATCCAATAACATTTAAATATAAAAAAATATTTTATTTATTTGTTTTATTCAGGCACTAAATATAGCTCATTAATTATTGGAGTACCAAAAAGAATTTACTTTATTTTAAAAAATACATCTTTTATTTTTTTTTTTTTGTTTTTGGAGTGAATAAACATTGTATTAACACCGTCTATAATAATAAATATAATGATATGTAATTTGTGAATCAAGTTCTCATAATTTATGTATATTAAACGCGCACCTAATAATGTAACTTACACCTCTATTTGTCCACTAGTATTTAACATTTAATTTAAATTTGAATAAAATGGATTAAATAATAACATAACATAACATAGCACAGTATTTGGTTTACAATATTTTAATATTAAACAAAACAATATTTCGGATGTTTAATAATAATGCGATTACGGAGGAAATAAGTGACAATTTATAGAATGAACAAATTTACATATATGATAGAGAAGAGGTGTTTTTGGGGATCACCAAAGCAAGCCTGGCATCTCACAATATGTCAAGAATCCCCACCATACCGTTGACGTTGTGGCGGGTCACTGAACTGTGCGCCACCGCGAATGATGGTCGAGTGCTTCGTCTCACCCTCTGCCCCGCTAACTGGCGCACCCCTTCCCCGCAAGGCGATTCCCTTCCTTTCCTTCTCTAAAATCCCTCCTGGCGGACAACACTCCCCACTATTATTTCAATTGTAATACTTGCCGGGTATTACCGACAATCTGCGATCGCTACCGAATCTTTCACCACGTTTACTTAAGTTATTACTATTTTATCTATTTATCAATTAAATATATACAGTCATGGGTCTAATGATTGTAATTATAGTTATTATCGATGAAAACAGGCCAAAAAATCAATATTTTACTCCGGCTTAGTCGATGATGAGTGTTGGTTTTTAATTCAAATTTTTTTTGGTCAAGAAGATGTCAGTTTACTTTTAATTAAATAAGAAAGATCGTTCTTTGTTTATTTAAGTATGTAATAACAATTTTTATGTTTTTTAATTCATAATGATTAATGATGAAAATTTAACTTATAAAAAAAATTAAACTTCATGAAATTTAGGAAATTATTAATGCAATCATTTAAAACTAATTGATTCTTTGAAATAGAGTACGAAATCGTCAGATAACTGCTGATTTTAGTTTCATCTTGATGGAAGTTGAATTATACAAAAGAAGTTTATGTTACGGAGAAAAAATTTGATATATTTTTACACGGAAAAAAGTAAACTGTAATAAATAACAATCGACGATTTATAATAAGTAATGATCAACTGCTAAAAATTACCATTTCAAACAGTAAAATCGTGATTTTACTATTCACATTGTAATATTTACAATTTAAACGTTACAATTTACTCTTTACATGGAAGAAAATACTATTTCAAACAGTAATATTCGCTATTTAAACGTCTAAAATGTTAAAGTATAATAATTAAGAATTCAAACTTTGATATTTATCATTTCGTACCTAAAAAATGATGTTATGATATGTAAAAAGTATAAAATAAAGTTAGTAAATTTCTAATACAAGCAACGTCAATATTTACAAAGTAAAATGGTAAATTTTAAACGCAACGCTAAAAATCAAACTGTAATTATTGACTTGCTTGAACTGGTAAAACGTATTTTTTAAAAGTATAATTTTTACTGTTTCAAATGTTAAATTCTCCCAGAGTGAGACCCCCTTCTCTTTTATCTGAGTTCCCCTTCTTCTCATAATATGGACTATATATTGAAATGGCAATTTTTACTGTTTGAAACTGTAATTTTTTAAGATGAAAGAGTCGTTATTTACTATAGTGACAGCTACTAATCACTTATTTTTGATATTAAATTATAAATTGTGGCTTTTATACTTTCTACATTAAGTTCTGTAATATTTACATTTTTGCCACCCCGATGTCCGCTTTACTGTTTGAAACTATAAAAATTAACCGGAATCCGAGTGAATATTACAGTTTACTTTTTTCCGTGATACTTTAATTTTACTCCATGCACAAAAAAAAGAAGTCAATTTTTAACTTAAGAGTGTGGAAATTGTAAAATTTATTATTATTCAAAATCTTAAGTTACATGAGAATTAAACATACTGTAATAAAAATTTCATTGTTTTTAATCAAAACAGAAAAATTCTTGAATTAAAAAAAATTTTTTAGCTTAATTCAAGACAAATAGATTCTTCACAATGGTTACTTAGTTAACGAATTTTTTTTCTTGAATTCGTTGATTTCTTCTTTTAGTGCAATAACGTTTTAACTAATATTTTAAATAATTTTTTTCGACAATATTTTATTATTAAATAAACATTTCTGGACCTTGATGTGCTATCGATAATTTATTGCGTATTATTTTTACCATCCAATTCTCTTCAGGAATGTAAAAAATCGTGTTAATTAATTCCATTAGAAAAATGTAATAATTGCATCAAATTTTCAGAAAAAATTTCAGCTAGCTAGAGCAAAAAAATTGATAAAAACAATCTATTTAAAAGCAACTAAAAATAATGGAATCGATTTGGTAAAATTAAAAAAATTTTTGTTTCTGGTCGCTGCGTTAAACGAAGTTGCCACATTCCGACTACGTCGAGCAGAAAAATAGTATACACACCTTGGCCAGTAAAAAGTAAAGCCTCAGACCACATGTTTGTCAACCTCGGCTTCGCCTCGGCCAACAATTACATGTGATCTGAGACTCTTCTTATTTTACTGGCCTAGCTATGTAATATACTATTAATAACAAAGTAGAATATTGATATGCAGGATTGGGATTATTGTTTAAATTAACGATTGACTAATATAGTAACTTTTAAAAAGTTAAATAATTGTTCTTTTTTCTTACTGAAATAAATAAAATTTATAAATGAAGAGATAAAGAAGAAAATTATCGATCGCAGGAAACTGCATCATCTATAGAGCACGTGTGCCGCTTGCTTAGTAAACAAAAGTAGAGACTCCGTTATAATTTAATGTGTAATGTAAGTGATTCTAGATGTCTCAAGTCTGGCGCTTTCACCGACTTTGTAATAATAATAATATACTTAAAAAGCAGTGTCGTAATAATTGAATGAAAATATGTAATAAATTAATGTTGTATTATTTTTCGAAAATAATGATGATAACAATAATGGGAAATAAAGAATACTTATGGAAAAAATAGTAATGTTTGAAAAAAATAATGGATGAAAAAA